GAATGAGCCCTCATTAAGCTCAAAATATGCTCATATAAGGACAAAATCTGTGGGCAAAGCTAACCCATATTTCGGGCCAGATTTTGTCGGATTACAGAGCGCTGCATTACCCGTGTCTAGCCCCTTAAAAATTTATACGATCAATTATTCTGTTTTCTGAAGGGTGTTGGAGCTCTAGCTGTATCTATTTGTGAATCCATGCGTTTCCATGTGAATAAAATTAAATAATTAATAATTGGAGAAATTTAAAGGATACAGAGTATTGTTTTTAGTAAATAAGGAAAGGTATAATATAACCTTGTGAATTTATTATTTAAAACAAGTTATAGTTACAAATTAAGTCAGGAATGACCGAACTTAAGAAAGGTTATCGATGAAATTCTCGATGTGGTAGAATTATCACATGAGGACGTGTCCCGCGTAGGATGCCCGTGTCGAATCCACGAAAATGGTCGTAGGTAAAGAAGAATATAATGGAGCGCAAGCGCCATCTACCGACGTTATACTGAGCCCAGGAATGAGGCGAAACAAGCACAATAGAGAAAAGGTGAACTGTGTTTTGTTTTATGATATGGTGGTGCTCGCTAGTCCTCCTGGGAACTGTACCGCGAACATTCATTTTCAAATTTAATTTAATTTGCCAATATGACGGACTCAGATTCTAATCCAATCCACAAATAAATCAGCTTGATTCGATATATAGTTATTTAATGCAGCAATAATTATTAATCCTGTAGGGGAACGCTTGTTTAATGAGCAACAATAACAATTATTTTATTTAATTTCGCTTACACAAAACTCGTGGGACTCTACATGCGGTAACGGTTACAATACATACTACCAACTTAAAAACTAGATGGTAACTTATGCTCTAAGAACTTTTCTCTTTACGCCATATCACTCCCCTTCGAGCGGTTTAAAATGTTAAACTGCGAATCTCACAGTTTTTTAACCGACTTAGAAAAGGAGGAGGTTACTCAATTCGACACGTATATTTTTTTTTTTTTTTATGTATGTTACTCGATTACGTTCAGACGTCTTGACCGATCGGGATGAAATCTGTTGCATCTTGTAGAGCATATCTCCGAGGTGGCCCCATTACCAAAAAATTTTGGAATTTCTCATTTTTTACCCGTTTTTTTCGCAAAAAACTGAAAAATTTTATACTGCTTCTTATTCCGTAACGAATTGACCAATCGGATTGATTCTTCTTGCATTTGGTGGGGCTTCGTTGCCTCTTAAAATCTTAAAAAGACATTTGACCTATTTCCATTTTTTACCACTTTATTACACTTTTTATCGAAAATTGTACTATTTCACGTATGTTCCGACTGAATTCGATGAAATCGATGAAACCCAGTACATTTTGCTGCCGGTCTCGTTTTCGTGGTGATCACTTTGCAAAAAATGATTTTTCTTTTTGTTAATAATTATTGTTATTGCAAAATTTCTATTTTTCTCATATTGTTTATAACTATTGTTATTGCAAAATTCCTATTTTTTTCTTATTGTTTATTACCCGGGGTGGGGTCCTCCACATGCTGTATCAAGTTATCTTGGTGGTCTGACTTACAAACAGACAAACAAACAAAGAACTTATAAACAATATGTAAACTATAAATATTTAAACATGAAATCTAGCGATTCAGGTTGAGGGATGCTTTCCCCGTAATTCCATTTGGCATATATTTTATGTTGTAATTACTTAATAATATTACCTTGCTTGTAATGAATCGCTGGTGAATTGAATGTGGGCGTTCTCAATATCTCGATGATTAAGGGTAAAGTGTACTTCAGTTGTTTCCAAGTGTTTCGTTCGCTGGGAGATGATTTGTAGTGTTTCTCTGTATTAACAAGAGCCGCCTTAGTCTTTCCTTTTCCGCTAATGCTTTTTCGTCGTGCGGTTTATTGAGTACTTTATTTATTGCTAAATCAGATAAAGCTAGATCATGTAAATTTTTAACACGACTAAGAGCAACGTACATTTGACCTTTAGCAAAATTCTTTTTGCCCAGATCGATTACAGCTTTATCTAACGTTGTCCCTTGTAATTTGTGAACCGTTACTGCCCAGCTTAGTATAAGTGGGAACATCCTGCGTTCGACGTCTCCATAACCTCTTGTTGCTTGAAACGTTGCGGTTACTGGGGAGATCGGAATGTATCCGTCGATATCTTTGAACCTGTTACCAATGGATTTGTCGTCAAATTCTATAAGTACAGAGTCCAGCAATTCTCCCTGTTCCAGCTGATCTCGCCGAAGTGCCGGCCATATAAATTTCTTTATTAGTCCCATTGCGCCATTTATCAAACCATCAGAAACGGATATATTTCGTCGTAGCATGATTCGCGATCCCTCGGCTAACAATATTGTATGTAAAAGTCCGCCACAGTTATTTACATTTGCAGGTATGACACCTTGTGGTGGTCTTTTTCCATAAGTAGCTGCCTCGTGAGATTCATCTATTGAATCGATGACATACATTCGATGTGATTTTGCTAATTTATCAGACATTTTGGTGTTATATTCATCCACTAATTTTATGGTTGGGAATATTCTTACAGCTGCTCCATCCTCAAATTTTCCGGTTAAGGGAACTCTTCTTCGTTCGCATAACATTATTATATATTATATATATTATTTCGTTCGCAGTTCGTTTCAGTACGCAGAAACTTCCGTTGTTGGCAAGTGTGTCGTCAGGACCTAGGCACATTGTTCGTTCGCTTATCGGTCTGGGAAAACCAAATCGACACGAACGATTATTTCGATCTTTGTAACAAGTATTAGTGTGTTTATGAATTTGGACTTTTTCAACTATGTTATTTACATCTTGTTCCGCGGTTTCTATTGAGCACGATACAACATTCTCGATAACATTGACCCCTTCGCTGGTTAGGAAATCCGGTATGTTTGCACATCAAATATGCAAGTGCAAATGCGGGCTCCCTCTGTTTTGAAATTCGATTCTATACCAATAATCGATAACAACGCCGCCTAGGCATTGGGTGCCCTTTATATACTGCATTAACGCGTTAACGCGTACCGTAAATTGTCTTGCTACAACTACTGGGTATCTTTGAACTAATTTCAATCGATCTGTGAATGTGAGGTTTCCAGCCTCCTCGGAGGAACGGCCTTCCGATATTAGGAACGCTTTCAACATGTCTGGCCAATTCAGATCGTTGCAGGAAAATGTAGCAAACCATGTCGGCGGTCCAAGACTTCGCACCATGTCGATTAACTCGGAACACGATCGTCTCCAATATGATGCCGAACCTCGTATGTTTCTCATGGTTAGGTGAATAGTATCTATAAGTTCAGTTGGAGTGTGTTCCCCTTGGCGCATTCTACATGATACCGAGACGCTTTTGCGCGGTAATATTCAACAACAGATAGTGCAAAGAACAAGTAATCTGTTCGTTGAAATCGTCTGTCGTTGCTCAGAATGCGTGCTTGGAAGTAATCCAGTGGTGTTATTGGGATATTGCGATACTCTCCGAACCCATTGCCCAATACCAATTGCTATTTCATACTACTCATATTGTTATTGTTGCATGAAGCCTAATGCTTAAATATTGACATTGAAAAGTGTGAAATAAAAAAATTTTTTGGAAAAAAAATATAACCGACTTCAAAAAACATTAAAACTTCAGTGAAAAGTATGAAATAATTTCTAGTCCATTTCTGTGAATAGTGAACAGTTCTATACATCTAAGTGCTAAAAGTTTGACAAAACGCAGTGAAAAGTATGAAATAATTTCTAGTTCGTTTATATTATATTACTAGTTTCCTTTATATTAAATTATCTTAAATAATCTTTTCGTAGTCGGCGCAAAATTAAAAATTACTTACATTAAAAGTTACCAAATTTAGTTTGACTTTCTGTCGGCGGGACAAAACTTATGCCCTTAAATTATTGCTATTATCATATTTACTTTAGATTACTGTTAATGTACATCATGTACATTAACACTTTTCTCCATCGGCGTCTCCGCCAAAAACTATTCCAAATCTACGCAGACAGTACTTTCACGTAGACATTTATTGTCTGGCTGAGCGTTCCATAGGACAGTACCTATGGCTCGTATAGCAGTACCTAGGCTATACGGTCATACATGCACCCGCACGAAGGTGATGGGTTTCTAAAACGACAAATAGGCGCCTAATAACTGATTATTAGTACCAGTGATCACTGGTAGGGTTTCTTATTCTAACGAACCCTCACACAGCCGACCAGGAAAGAGAATGGAAAGATAAGCCCTGTCTATTATTAAATTTCATCTAGGCAAGTACTTCGAAACAACGTAAAACTCTAGTCATGAGCAATTGTAGAGAGTTTTGTTTTTGGGTCCTCTTTTTTTGGGGAAGTCTATTACCATCAACAAGCCCAGGGGACCGACCTGGACTTTCACGAAGACAGTATACATGTATACATTAAAAGCATTCAACCTTCATTGCCGCCATCACCCAAAACTAACTCAAGCAGGAATTAAATATTTTTAATTTTGCGCCGACTACGAAAAGATTATTTAAGATAATTTAATATAAAGGAAACTAGTAATATAATATAAACGAACTAGAAATTATTTCATACTTTTCACTGCGTTTTGTCAAACTTTTAGCACTTACATGTATAGAACTGTTCACTATTCACAGAAATGGACTAGAAATTATTTCATACTTTTCACTGAAGTTTTAACGTTTTCCGAAGTCGGTTATATATTTTTTCCAAAAAATTTTTTTATTCTCGTGCGTACGTTCTAAGTTCAGTACTTCTTGATCCTTCTGCGCTTGTTTTTCCCACGTCGCCGGTTTTAATCGCTTGATGGATATATTTGTGGGTTTTCTTTTATAATTAGTTTGAAATACATCATCTGATAATCTTTTAGAATTTGAAATGGCCCTTCGTAAGGTGGATCCAATGGATTTTTTAACAGCATCTATTCTGACAAAAACATGTGTCATGTATATAACGTTTTATAAGTGAATACCTTACGTCTGGAATGGTGAGCGGTTGGAATCGGTTTAATTCTCTTAATATATTGTCTGAATTTATTAATAAAATGTTCTGGTTCACTTCTTTCGCCTTGCTCGAACAATTCTCCTGGTAAGCGTATGTTGCTTCCATATATCATCTCAGTTGCTGTTGCATTAATATCCTCTTTAAAACTCGTTCTCAGACCTAAAAGTACTGTGGGCAAAATTTCTGTCCACTCATTATCCTTATGACATATGATGGCTCTTTTAAATGATCTGTGCCATCTTTTTACTAATCCATTAGATGCTGGGTGATATGGTGTTGTTCTGTTTCTATTGCATCCCAATAATTTGGTTAGTGATTTAAATAATAAGGATTCAAACTGAGTACCTTGGTTTGTGGCCATTGTTATTGGCGTTCCAAATCTTGTAATCCAATATAATATAATGCTATTGCTACTGAATCAGCTGATATGTCCTTTAATGGGATCGCTTCAGGCCACCGTGTAAACCTATCTATTATAGTCAAGCAATATCAAAAATTTTTGGATGGTGAAAGGGGTCCCACAATATCCACGTGTATATGTTCAAACCTTCCAGTTAGAACTTCAATATGCTGTGGCTGTTTTTTATTGTGTCTGTGAACCTTCCCTCGTTGGCAATCTAAACAAGAACGCACTCAATTGGTAATATCTTTTCTCATTTGTGGCCACATGAAGCTTTTTGCTATAATTTTCTTCGTAGCTTTTCCTCCTGGATGGGACAAATTGTGTATAGCCTCGAAAATCCTTTTCCTTAAGGCTTTAGGTATGTATGGTCTGACTGTTTCGTTAAAAATGTCAGCATATATATGTTTATTGGAATCGCTGATGGCAATTTTTCTAATACCCCATTTGTCCATTTGATTTGGTCTTCCTATTAAATTTTGCAGTTCTTCATCTGTTTTCTGCTCTTCAATTAATTATTCTGTTGAAACTAAAACTGGTAAATTTATAGTTGCTACCCGTGACAGTGCATCTGCAATGTTGTTCATCGTTCCTGTCACATGCTGTATATTCGTTGTATACTGCCCAATGAAGTCTAACTGACGTAATTGTCTCGGTGTTGGCTTATCAGATTTTTGCTGAAAGACATACACGAGGGGTTTATGATCCGTTCTGATCAGAAGGTCTCTACCTTCTATCCAATGTTTAAAAAATTTGATGCCTTTATAAATTGTCAGCAACTCTCTATCGTATGTGCTGTATCTTGTTTGAGCTCTGTTCAGTTTACTAGAAAAGAACCCTAGTGGTTCCCACCTGTTTTGATTCCATTGTTCCAGCACTGTTCCTAACGCAATATTTGAAGCATCTGTTGTGAGTGCTAATTTTACTCCTTTTACTGGATAATGCAACAATGTAGCTGCTGCCATTAACTCCTTGCATTTGTCGAAGGCTTTTTCTGCATTCTCTGTTCACTTGACTGGCCTGTTATCTTTTTTCTTCGCTCCTTTGAGCATTTGGTTCAACAGTACTAGAATCTCCCCTGCATTGGCAAAAAATCTCCTATGATAATTTAGTACACCTAAAATCTTCTTACCTCACTAATTGTGGTTAGTTTTGCATATATGTCTGTATCGCTGAAACCCTTTTTTCCAAAGAAGCAATACCTAGTTTGTTAATTCTACAACCTAAATATTGCACTTTTTCCTGTACGAATTGGTACTTTGATACATTTATGGTTAGACCATGCTCTTCCAGCTTTTGGAACACTGCTCGCAGATGTGCGTCATGCTGCTTCACATTCTCTGATGCTACAATAATGTCATCAATGTAACATCGACAATATTGTAAATCCTTTAGTATCACATCCATTAGCCTTTGGAAGGCTTGTGCTGCATTTATCAATCCGAACGGCATTACCATATATTCGTACAATCCAAAGGGGGTTGTATTGCTGTTTTAGGCTGGTCCTCTGGTGCCATTCGTATCTGATGATATGCTCTTCGCAAATCTATTACTGAAAATACTGTGGTACCATCAAAATCATGGACGATATCCTGTACATGTGGTAATGGGTACTTATCTGGCACTGTAACACTGTTTAGCCTCCTATAATCACCGCATAACCTCCATTCACCAGTATTTTTCTTTATCATATGTAATGGACTCGCCCATTGGCTCTTTGATGGCTGTGTTATGCCCTCCGTCAACATTTGCTGAAATTCTGTCTTTGCAACTGTCAATTTTTAACGGACTTCGAAAAGGAGGAGGTTACTCAATTTGACATGTATATATATATATATATATTTTTTTAATGTCTGTTCACCGATTACGCCGAGATGGCTTGATGAATCGGAGTGAAACCTCTGGCATCTTGTCGAATATTTCTTCCAGTTGGTCGCGTAAAAGAAACATTTTGTGATTTGTCGTTTTTTAACCGTTCTTTTTTAAAAAACAGAAAAATTTTGTCTTGCTTCTTACACCGAGACGAATGGACCAATCAGGTTAAAACTCCTTGCATCTGGAAGAGCATTTGCCATTTGGTCACATAACAAAACATTTGTCTTTAGTTTGTTTTTTACCACTTTATATCACTTTTTATCGCAAAGAGCGTACTATTTCACGTATATTTGGCCTGAAATTGATGAAATCCCTTACATTTTGCGGCCGTACAGGTTTTCGCGATGATCACATTTCCAAAAATTTATGAATTTTTTAATTGTTTATAACTATTGCTATTGCAAAATTCCTTTTCTTTGCTGAAACTTGGCACGTAATTAACCGATCGAGATGGAATTTTCCGCATTTCATGATAGATGAATTCGACTTGATGTGAATGGGAATTGATGTTCCCATTTGTAAAAATGTATGGACATGTTACGTATACAAAAACTCGCTGTTTGTTTCCAAAGCTCGCGTTCATCAATTTTATTTTATCTACCCTCCTGGAATTTGGAGCTCGGTCTCCCTGGAGTGCATCTTGCAGCTGCATACTCTTAATATCATCTTCGACTTGCGTTGCGTGGGAAGACTTCTTATCTACCCTTTCCCAGGGAACGCAGCTGCTCACCTCAGAGCCACGAAAATCCTAACCGTCAGATTTCCAAATATGGAAATCACCGACGGATCCACACTAACATTTAGGGGTATATAAACCCACGATTTTCGTTGCTCAGGGAATTAGAATGATAGAGTTACGTAGAGTCACATCACGTCCATCGTTGCAGAGTGTGCTTTAGTGAGATCGGGCTTGAGTTTCCCTTTCGATCAAGTTAACCTTATAGATCCGCGAAGACGGTTTTCATCTATTACGGCATTTAGAATCACACTCGACCCCCGCATCGCCAGTGGGTTAACACCGTGCAACAATTAGGTAATTAAATTCAACGTTTACTACACACGACCGTGACAACACAACATTGCACATTTGTACCTTAGTATAGTTATTCTGAATATATATATCCTTTTGTGTAAATTCAAAGTTTCCTAAGTCAATTACTAAACCTTCAC